TGTCGCTTCACTTCACTCTGTGCTCTTTCCCAGCACTTTACAGCTTCTAATGACTGTGCAGTGCTATGGTAAGGACTGTCTGGGGTCACAGTTAATATTTATTAGGCAATGAAATTATAAATGGTATTATAATATTCAGGATGCAGACAGTCTGAATGTGCAAATCTAGAGACTTCTTAAAATTTGTCTAACTCATATCCTAAATTAAAATATGTAATTAATGATTTAAATGATTTAAATGACACCCATTCAAATTGATGCCGTGGCTAAAGCCAGACCACATAGTGGCTATCTTCAGAGACTCTTGAGTTCCAGCACTGGTATTTCCTTGCTTTGTGATCTGGAACATGTCACTATGTCACTTCTGCCTTTCAATGCCTTAATTTCCCCATTTGTAAGTGGAGATAGCAATAGCACCTACCTTCATTGGATAATCTAAAGATTAAGTGAGATAAGGCAAGTAAAATTCTAACCACAGTTACTGGTATGGTGACAAACTCAATGAATATCATCTAGTATTATTACTGTTGTCACTTTTTGTTATATGATTATTATTATTCAGACTGTATCAAGGTTGGTTTTATGTATCAAGCTATTGATTTATAGGTTCTTTCAGTCAGGCCACCCCCCTGCACCATTGAATCCTCTTTCCTATCCTTCCTTTGTAAAATGAGGTGATTGATCAGGTTGATCTCCAAGAATCCTCCCAATTATAAAATACCCTGCATTATTTTTAGTTGAACTTTAAAACCAAAATTTCTTCAGCTAAACACTCTAGAATCTTAACTGTTGAATTATAATGCATAATATATACCAAAGTTATTTTTTCCAAAGTGGGAATACAGAACAAGGATGTTACTGAAATTGAGAAACGGTCATACATTAAATGCCACTTAATAGTTACTATTTAAGGGAATAAATCAAAATTTCCTGGAAACCAGGTTAGCATAATATAGCACAAGACATCTAGCATAAAATACACAACTGTAGGTTTTCTAAAACTTACAACATCCTCTGAATCAGTGGTTCTCAAAGTGCTGTTGCTAGACTGGCAGCATTAGCATTACCTGGGGTGCTCATTAGAAATACAAATCCCAAGGCCTCACTTCAGACCTGCTGTGTCAGAACCTCTGCAGGCAGGTTCCAGGAGTCTGTGTTGTAGCAAGCCCTTCCAGTGATGTTGCTAAAGATTGACAACCATGGGTTTAAGTAAAAAAATGGAAAAGCAAGGTCTGCTTCTGATAAACATTTACAGAAGCAGCTGAAACTGAAATTAAATCTGGCCTTAGAAGACATCTAAGCTCTGCTAAAGATAATTAAAAGTCAAGTTGCCAATCAATTGACAGAAAGGAGGGTTAAGAAGTCATTCTCAGATATTCCCACTAGAGAAATAAGGTATTAAGAAGGTTAAAGCCAAGTTCAGTGAAGTCATCAGAGACTTATCAGTGCAATGATTCCTCCTTAGCATAGAGAACCAGAGGTTCTCTGTGCTCTCTCCTATGGGAAAGAAATAAGCTATTACTCTTCTCATTAAAAAACAAAACAAAACAAAATTTAATACCCTGATTTATGAAGGTCTACAGTAAATATGGAAGAAAATATTTAATGATCTATGCCCATCTATTTATCTGGCAAGACCTAGATCTTTTTATTAAGTGCTGCAGAAAATCGTTCAATATACTAAAAATAACAAATCTTTAAACCATGTATAAGACCATGAAGAAAAAAAATCAGTGTCGGAACTGCAGGAAAACAAAGTGATTTTATTTGCTTCAATGTCCTCCTTATCATCTACATAACAATTACAGATCCCTTTCTTAAATCCAACATTTCTAATTAACTCCTAGGTACTAAAACTAATAAATCAAAAGAACTATGTATGTCCAATTTGGTCCCATAAGTCTTTTCTCATAGGCTTTATCTCAGTTAATGGTTTTCATTTTTCCAAGGTATCAACCCTTCAACATTCTTCCCCTTTTCCTTCAAGCCCTTTTGCCCTCTACCTATTAACATTTCATATTTGCCAAATCCAACTGATTTGACTTCATAATTTTCTGAGGATTCATTTTCTTTTCATCTTTGTAATTCTGACAGCCTTTATTCATATTCCCACGATAATTTACTTTTCTGTCTTTGGACTGTAGGACTCTTGAGAACAGGAACAATGTCTCCTCCTCAATGCCCAGCACAAGGCCTGGCAGAGCAGGCATCTGGAAATTGTTCCCCAGTGAATGTCCTTAAGCATAGACAAATTCATCTGAAATCTCACAGCCCCCATGATCTGAGGAAGTCTTATGGGATCTTTTTTTCCAGAGAAATAGGTTAATATGTGACAAATTTCTAAGAGTCTATTATTTTGAATACACATTTCTCACATTTCAGAAACTATTAAGTGTTCTAAAAATCAGATTTGGAATTTTAAATTAGAACCTCTTTCTTTATTCATTTTAGGATGTTACATTTATTTTGTCTGGTTGGATTATTGTTTTCTGGCTTTATAATTCAGCTTCAATGACCTCAACAAAATGAATGACAACGTGTCCCAGAGTCTTTGGGGATACCCTGAGTATGAAATTTAGGTGAATTAAAATAAAACACAAATAGCTTTCAATGATCACAATAATAATCTAAGGAATTACTACTTAGGAGAGAAAAAAAGACCTATCAAGAACATATTTGCTACTTACAACAAAATGATTTATGAAAACTGTCATTCCAAAAGATGTTGATCTTCCTTAGGAAATGAATTACCTAAGAAAATCACAAATAAACAGCCAGGCTCTAATGGGATTTGATATAGCCCATTTTGATGCTGCTAAAACTTCTGTTTTCATTGTTTAAGATACCAAGAATTCTGAAGTAGCCTGAAATTGCTCTTTGAAATTTGTGAAGTTCAAACAAAATAATACAATTTTTGTTTATTCTCCGTGCTTTCACTGAAGAGGAATTCTAGAATGTACAAATAGAAAAGGAATTCTTGGCTAGCAGTCTGATACAAGAGAAATCTTCCAGAAACACGTAGCCTGGGAAATTTCAGACTCCTGGCAGACTGCAAACCTGTACTGCCTTTTATTAATAATCAGGATCCAGATCAAATGCCTGTAAAAAGCCAACACCTACTTCTGAGGCTAGAGTTTAGTGCAGAAGTTGAACATCTTCCAACAAACACTCTCATAATAGCAGACATCTTCTCCACACACAAAATTATTCTGGTCAGTACAAATGTCATTGACTAAAGAGACACTGAAATTTATGGCCAGTGTTCTCTAGAAAATAGAACTAAGAAGGTTCTTTAGTAATAAACATGAAAAACATGTTCAATGGCAGTTTTATTCTATAGACTTGCTGCAATCTAGAATGATTTGCATCACAGCCAAAACATCTGTCTAAGGTTGCCTATATGATCATAAATTAAGAGAGAGTACCAGATAATATCATTGCTATTAGAAAATGCAAATATGTTAGAGGTGCAGCTGTGGAAAGAATTTCAGAATCACAAGGAGACTAAAGTAGTAGCACCTAAATCTACACAGATTAAAAACACTCTCACTCATTCTTGTCTGTGTTCTATGCATCCTTAGTGGTGAAAGACTGGGATATAACATGAAATATGTCTTTGGATGTTACCATTACCTGTCTATCCCAATCAAGGCTTGTTCACATTTGAAAGGATACAAGAAACAAGCACATCCTCACAGCAGTAAAAATTTACCAGTATAATGAGAGTAATCCACAAATAACTGTTTATGAAAGAAACAGCAAAACACCCACAAAGCAAAGGCAGAAAAGTATTGTTGCTATGGAGTGGTGTTTTATCAAAGTTTTAGTTCAGATAAGGGAAAGGAGTGAATGGGGATGAAACATATAAAGGGACCATAAAAACAAAGCCTTTTCCCAGCAGACAGGGACACTCCTCTATAAAGTTCTTTTCCCAATCATGGCAAAGATTCTGATAAAAATCCTTTGGGAAAGCAAGAGCTTGCTTGTAAAAGAATGTCACACCTCCTAACAGTCTAACATTTGCAGAGACAGAGATGTGTATATTATCAAATAGGGAAGAATTTGCTAGAGCTGAAATACCGTCCATTTTATAAGATTTTACTTTAAAAGACAGATTTTTGAACCCCTGCACAATCTGCAGTGTCTTTGCAATTAGTCAGTTAGTCTCGATGCAAGGAAGTGACGAGTTCAGTGTGAAAGGAAAAAGGATCAAATAGATAATTCAGACACAAGGCAGTTACAAAGGGAAGAATCCAGACAGACAAAAACAGACTCCTTATTCATTCCTGTCTATGATATCTCTACTTCCTTAGTGATAAAAGACAGATGGATAGAAAAAAAACCCGCATTGTATTTATAATTGTGTGCCATTTTAGTTTATTTTCTGTCGATAACCATAAGGTATAGCTATATTTGCACCATTAGTAAATTTGATATAGTTAAGTCTACAGTCAGAGTTCAGCTATCTCATAGTAACCCTTTTTGTTCAAGTCTCAATTTAAAATAATCTACTAAAGTTTGTTAAAGGATAATATCAAATTGCGATGGTACAATTCACTTTTGTAGTAAGCTGCAGAAGCCCAGAACAGGCAAGCAGGTTAAATAGGAAAATAACAAAACAAATTAACCGTCTGATAGTGTAGAATGTGTGAAAATGAAAGACAAGAGGAAAAGCACCCACACATACATATAAAGTTACAAGCAAGCTATGTTGAGCATCACATAGAAATGTTCCAATTTATGAGAAGTCTACTCAGGTTACTTAATTTTGCTTTAGCTCTGACAATTACTTATGATTGTCCAGGGCAGAAAATACAAGTGGATGTAACTATCATAGCACATGAAGGGTTTACCTAAGAGTAGTTTTCTGCTATAATATAATTTAGATTTTGAATCTTATATTTCTTAAATTTTCAGGGCATTTGAAAATCTAAAAACAAAAACAAACAAAAAACCCTTCTGCAGATAAAATAAATTGCAAGCTGTATTTTTGCAGGTACCTGTTTTTCTCCGCTAGGTTTTTTGTGGTTCAACAGCAGCTCCACAGCTCCAACGACTTCTTTTCTGATAGCATGTAACAGAGCATCTCCAACATAGACATTAAAGCTTAAGAGTAGTTCGATGAGCTCCAAGTTCTCATTTTCAATGGCAATGAGGAGAGCAGTTCTTCCGAGAGGATCAATGCAATTAATATTGATTTTAAAATAAATTTCAGCTTCCTCTAGTGATTTCTTGACACTGGCATAATCTCCCTTTTCCACAGCATTCAAGTAGGCTTTTTCTGATGGTGAGAGTTCGGATTCTGCTCTTACTATCCTTAGTGGAATGCGATCTCTATAGGGAGCATTAACATTTCTTTTGTAATAGAATTGAGCCATGTTTTATGCCATGCTATTTCTTTGTCTCTGAAAGTAGAAACACAAAACACAAAGATTAGTGTTAATATGCTTTTAAAATTGTTAAGCATCATACTTCTTTTCTATCTCACAGTGATATCAATAACAACAATATCATTATTAGTAACTAGTAAGTGTTAAGGTTTTTTTCTTAAACAATAGAAATACTAAATAGCTATGCAATTATGTTGAAACAAATTATTCTTCTAAGATAAACAAGAAGAGGTTAACATTTGGTAAACTATTATAAAAGTTATTCTAAAAGTGAATTTTATCAGAGAATGCATTTAGAGTTTTGGAAATTATTTACGAAGTTTATAATAACTGTATATACTTTTCAGACAATCACTTTGAAAATCAGAGGCCATATTTTTGAGATCTCAAAACTAAACTAAGGATATTCAAATATATCATTCATTGTCAATTTTGCTAATTGTGGAAATGCTATTGAGATTATGTAATGCCATTATATTTGCAAAATATTGTTAATTTGTCTTTTTTTTTTTTTTTTTTTGGTAGAGTCAGAGTTTTGCCATGTTGCCCAGGCTGGTCTTGAACTCCTGGGCTCAAGAGATCCATCTGCCTTGGCCTCCCAAAGTGCCAGAATTAGAGGCATAAGCCACTGTGCCCTGCCCCGTATACTTACTGCTAAAAAGTACTGACATCAAAGTTAATGTAAATTAACAACATTATTGTCAAATACTGAGCCCAATGAACATGATTATATTTTTTTCTCTCCGTGAGTTCATTGACGGGGAAAAACGTGTACTAATAATATTAATCATCAAGATGAGTCTAAGCGATTCAATTTCCAAAAGAATAATTGGAAAGGATTAAATGGAGAGAGAATTTATCATAAAAATGCTATTGTCTTCATTCTACTGCCTTTGTAAAATAACAATAAACCACAACGCAGGAATGTATTTATTATAAAATTTATTCTTTGGAAGTTAGGGTTAAGGACACAGTTGAATATGAGAAAATTAATTCAAATAAATGAAAGCTCATCTTACAATAAATTAACAAAGTTGCTGGAAAGTATGTTGATCTAGTATCATCCTAGTGATAGAGATTCATAGAAAAAAGTATTACATCTTGAGTATGATTTTTTCATTTCTGTTAGTTCCTCATATTATCTAAATTATTTTTCTATGTTATTTAAATTGAACTCACATATTTATTTGCATATGTTTGCTCTGCAAAATTAAAATGAAATTAAAATACTAAGTACTTAAACATGCATATTCTTTTTAATTGATCTTTTTAACCCTAATCATTTTATGAGTAAATTAATTTGACTTGAATAATGTTTTAACCATAGATTAAACTTGAATTACATTAACAAAGATGATTATATTTAATAATATTGTCATTTTGGGAAATTTTACATTATTTATAAATTACCTCAATTTATTAATAATTTTAATTATCAAGGAATTAAGTTTTACCCTTTGACATCCAGATAATTCATCATAATTTCTCAAATATCTAGGTGGAAGAACTAATAAGAGAAACTATTATTTTGTAATTTGTTTCTCTCTGGCATTTTAAACATAACATTTTGTAAAGATACTTTCACAGAACAAGCAAAAAGTGAGTGTTCAATATGTATTGATTTTAGAAGTGCAAATTACTTACTTGAAGCCTGATTGTAACCTCAGTATTTTGGGGATGCTTTAACTCACACTAGTATAATAGGAATAGCATTTATATTATAGAATAACAAGGACAGTTTAATATTCCTCCAATATCACTAAAACTTGAGTAAATCAATATGACTATGATTTTATCTATGTCATTGTAATTATCTGAACCTGAATGCCCCCATTTTTTGCATCAGTGATGCCGTTACAATGTTGGCATTGGAGAAAGGTGGCTGACACTCCCTTCCTTAGCACCTTTTTTCTCAGTCCCAGGTCAGAGTCTGTAACAATGGGTAGGATCAATGCCATGACCTTCACATTGTAATTTTATCAAGACTAACACCTAAATGCTTCGTAATGATAATGACAGGTACTTATAGTCGTTTTCAGCATTACACATACTCTTTATAATCTCACTTCTTAATTATCCATGACTCTTGGAAAAATATGTGAACTTTTATTTTGGAGTTGAATTTAAGTTTTCCTACCAATAATATTTTTAGCTTGAGACCAGTGTTTGAATGTAGCTCACCCAAAATGCTGGTTAAAATGTAAATACACACCACTTACACACATGCATGCACACATCAGTTCCGCATGTGAATTATGATTCAATCACAATTAAGAATCATGCTAGAGAATAAAAAAAAATTTATTTTTATTGAGTTAATTTTATTAATAATGCTACCAAATAAAAAATTAGGTATTTTTTATTTGGTAGCATTATTAATAAAACTAGAACAGCATTTTATTTCTTATTGTCAAAGTACAGAATGTCAGTGACAATAGGGACTAGGGGACAAAACAGAAGCTACTGGAGAACTTAGAGGAAAAGGGAAGAAAAAAATAAATTAAGCTTATTGATATCTATTTCATTTAATCCAGATAACCGCTATAAATGTAAACCACATAAGTTCATTTTAAAAAGAGTGACATTACATAAGAAAGAGAGAGAGATTTTCGTCAACACTATATTTAAGAGATGAAGGGCATATGAGATGTTTGCATTAGGTAATCTATTTCTCTATCCCTAAAGCGATGAAATCAACACTTACCAAAAAACAGGCGAGAAGATAAGAATGAAAGCATTCGTGCCGAGAAAGATATTTTATTAACTTTTATGACCCTTTTCAGTCTCTTCAATTTGAAAAAATATGTAAGAATTTATTTTGGGAAGTCTGTACCTATTTTAAGTACATTTAAAATGTAAATACTTTAAGTAAAATTTAAATATTTACAATTGAATCTTAAAACACAGGGAGAAACACACACTCACACACACACACACACACACACACACACAGAGGAGAGAGAGAGAGAGAGAGAAATGGGCAGACTTAGATGGTTAAAACCTTCGCATAAAGGATTATATAATTTTTCAGCACATAGATTTGTCCTTCTTGATTACTTGGGACGCAAGGGTACTAACTGGAGGACAAAAGAAATCAAGTTTAACGTTTTAAACTGTGCTATATGAATTCAATAGCAAGTGGCAGGCACTGATAAGGCTGATGGAGTCTCTGAGCTGACACAGTTATCAGCTATGGAATTGCTACTTGATGGAAAGGCTGTTAAAGAACGTGAGACCAAGTATTGCAAATATGTTGACCTATAATGTCAAAATAAAAGATTGTTCCTGGTCCTCCACTTTTAGAATGAATTTTGGAGGGGAAATGGTTTTTCCCCCCATGAGATTGCAGAATTTTAAGAATCCCTTCATTTCAATGCCTCCTGTATAATACCAGAAGTGAAATGACTGATCGGTCAAATTATATTTAGAAGATTTGGAAAAGAGATGAGGAGTTACGGGGGAAAAAAACTCAACTTCTGAGATGTGACTTTTTAAATAAACTAAAATTTATTTCCCCTCAATGTGTTGAGGATTAAAAACAAAAATAGAAGAATGTAGAGAGAGCTACAACTTGACATTGATCCAAAAAGAAATCAAAATTGTCACTAAATCTGAAAACTACAGTTTTCTAAGCAACATAAAGATATACAACAAAAAATGTTAGTTATTTATATGAATCTGAAGGCATAGTGCCTAAAGGACAAGCTTAGTGTATAGTGGAAAGAGCAGTGAATTTGAATTCCAAAGAACACAAAGGAAAGGAATATTTAATATATAGATATCTCCATTCCTTAGTATATATTACTAAAGGGGAAATGAATTTCCCCAAACAACATTTTCTTTTCTTCCCTAGTTGACTGTGCAAAGATACATGTTTACAGGTGTGATCCCATGACACAGTAAGAAACAACTCCTATTTGTTATTAAGATACTACCACACATATGTAAGTTGCATCTGTACTTTGTCTGGAATCTGATATGAAATACTGTTTTCCCAAATAAGTCATTCACACTCCATCCAATTAATATTTTTTCTTGATGTTGTACATATTATCTCAATAATCTTTCACATAATATACTCCATATAAAAGCATAATGCTCTGATTTTTGCTATGACTCTGAATTCCAGACCCTTTCCTAATTTCCTTAGGCAAGAAACAATACATATGTTTCAGTAGCTGCAAGTCTTACATAAAAAGTATTACATGTTGACTGAAATGATTTATGATTTAGTCCGGTCAAAATTTAACAAAAATTTTCTCTTGTTTTGATGTGGTCAAAGCACAATGAACTACTAAATTTCTTTCAGAAGTTTTAGAGACATTTCTATAACCCATGAGATAAGGTTATATTACTAACAACAACAACAAAAGTACTTTACTAAAATATTTTGACATTTTATCCTAGGATTTTGAAGATGAAAATCAAGATTATACTTATTTTCAAAATTCAAGCCCCTTGGATTTAACAAGTGCCACCTAAAAATCTAAACTCTATCTTCGTTTTAATTTCTTTTAAATCTTATTTTCTAATCTTCTTTGTGATGGTATATTCCCATTTTTAAAACACACATATTGAGGGAAATGGTATAGGTGGGCAAAAAATGTTATTTAGCTGGATTTTTACCTCATGGGATTTAGAAAACCTATGTTAAAAAAAATAATATGTAATAGTCAAAGTTTGAAACTCTACCTTGAGAGTTAGAAAATATGCATCAATCCATTACTCTTTTTTCCTCTGAATTCAAAGGAAAAGATGTTATTTCCTCATTCCAGCAGCTAATCTTAATGTCTGAGCTTCCATCCATCCGCATTTCTCTATATTTAACACCACCCTTCACCCTGTTTTATACCTGAAGCCTCTTTCTGCAAACCGTCTTCTCTTCACACCACAAATCTACTTAATTTTTGTTATTTTTAAATTGTAATTATCTTTGGTAATTCTCTCTGTCCTAGCTCAGATTTTCTTGATTTTATAAACTTTAAGCTCATCTTCCATTTACTCATTTATTCTCT